TCAAGTGAGAAGTAGGCTAATTTCCCCATAAGACTCAATACTAACGTACTTCTTTTTTGCACCCTATGAAGCTGCGCCCTGCTGGCTGCAGGTTTAAATGCATTATATTGGTTTCACTTCACAGACCCCAAAGCTCTGTCCACTATATTTAGTCAATGGTTAGATGATCCAACTTTGGGTGAAAAAGTGAATAAGCATATTTCCTAAGGGCTCTCTTGAAGAGCCTCATCTTGATTGCCCATAACGTACTGTAAATGAACAGTGGCCTCTTTAGTAAATCACTGATAAGTGCTGTAAACTGGTAGACTTGTTGTGTTCAGGCGGTCAGTAAACAGGTAGAGAACATGACTGATGGGATAGAGTCTGTTGCTTTAGAGCCTCTTCACATGTTTAAAGCCCCAGCTATTGAACATAATAAACATGTCAAACCAGCAACTGTGCCCTTTTTCATTTGAAATGTCAGTTTTTATTAATGCAGGATAAATTAGTAGTAATGGTTACATGGCCAGCGGCAGGTTACGTTCCCTTACAGGGACGTTAATGACTTGACCTTCCACTGGACCAGTGTGTACCTCCACAAACACACAGCACTGAGCTATCACAAGAAGTCCCATCACCGAGTTCGCCAGACAAGCCTGTGGTCCTGATAGTGAGAGGTCAGAGAGCTGGTACAGAACAAACATCCAATAGCAGTTTGATTTAAAAGACCATTTAAAACTGTCTGACCCTGCTTCTTGAGAGCCAGCGTGGCCAGCTCCTCACCGTTCACTGACAACAGGACAAACGCTATATGAGCTTGAGGAGGAAATGGATGGTTGTGTCTGTCTCACATTAAAACTTGGTGTGTATATTTGCCTCCCAAAAGAAAAAACACACAGGACTTTGACTGGAGCTCCGTCATGAAACATCAACAAAGGAAACACTAAGTGTAAACATACTGTATCTCTATTAGTCAGTCAAGTTACATGTGATCACACATGTGGTATAAATAGTGTTCAGTAACACTGTGGAACAACGTATGCCAGGGCAAACTAAACAGAATCTAAATGTTCAGATTGAAAGAGATGCGCTTGATTGATTCTTTTTAAGTAAGAGCTGAGAACTGAGGAAACAGACTGCAACACAAAAATCAATAAAATCAAATCCAACAAAAAGTCCTGACAGTACGGCTCAGTGCTCTCATTTGAGCCGATTAAAAATTCAAAGTTCATTCCTGACATTGGAAACGTCAGATGAGCACAATCTCACCACTAGGTCTATTCAGTAGTTGTTGTGGAACTTTTGTTCACGTTGCATGATCTACATCAACACAGTGAGGGTGATCAAGAGTTTGCTGTGGAATTGTAGATTTCTATTTTGTTCCTGAACATTTTAGGACTTCTCATCCATGCTGGCTTAAAAGCATGCTGATGAACATCGTGTGATATAATCAAAAGCTCCAGAACAGTTACTAAATACAAACTTTGAACCTCAGCTTTTAAGCCAACATGGATGAGAAGTCCTAACAGAAAAGAAAAATGGAATCAATACCACAAGTTGGCTCACTCCATCTACTGAGGAAGAACATGTACCGAAAGCTCCAGAGCAGCTACTAAATGACCACAGTGGCTTTTAAAGAGCAACTAGAGGATTTTTTTAAAAACTCTCTCAATCAAGCACGTCTCTCGTATTGTAAATATTGAACATGAATGCCTCACTCGCACTGCTAGCGCTGAGGTACAGGCCGGATCGATTCATTCAACCCTTCCATTAAATAACAAAATAACAGGGCTCTTGACAAATAGACAAACACATTAAGACACACAAGTTCAATAAAAACACTGAGATGCATTCACACACTTGCATGCCTGGCAGGAGAGCTATCTTCTTCTTTTTTTTCTTCTTCAGACGTCGCTGTCCTTCATTGCGATCCAAAGCAAAGTGCACAATGGAAACAAAATGTACAGTCCTTCAGTCAGATAGAATCGGCTCCGAGGGGTGCAGACTCTACGCGTTTAGATCCAAATGCGGCTTTCCTCGCATCGATGCAGGTTAGATGAGAAGTTCTTGTAGTGAATACGCTGTAGCTGTGTCTGAAATTGGAGGGGACAGACGTGGGCTCTATTGTCCAACTACCAAATCACACCAAGGTTTTCTATTGTAGCATTTGGTCAACTTCCTCTAAGGATTCAAAAACACTGGCCTGGATGACGAGAAGTAAGAAATACGACATTTCTCTCTCTGTTCGAACAGACCAGTCATTGTATTTTGAAATCCATGAGAGGCAGCGAACCAAGCACTTAGCAGAGAGATGAAAGTCTACAGGATGGTAAAGGGGGTGGGGGGGGGGGTTCATGGGAGCAGTTTGAGCCTTCTGGTGACCCTGGGGACAGGTGGGGCTCTGTCTCTCAGCCCTCCATACCAAAGTCCTCTGTGAACTTCTTGACCTTCAGCAGATCTTCAGTGTTGACTGTGGGACGGGTGGTGGACAGAGAGCGCAGCATGTCCGACTGCAAAGGAAGCAGGAGAGCACACATTCAGTTCCTCCATCCAGTGTACGCCCTGGCTGACTGCCACCGGTTGAACTCTGTTACTGTGGATCACGTGTAGGAATAGGATCCATTCTATCTGACAGACATTGAGGGGTACAGCTGAGAGGTTTTTGGACTGACAACGGCGCTGTGGAAAACTAAACTAAAAGTATGGGAAAACATTTTAGTTAACTGAAATAAAAATAAATGCTAGTTTTCCTTTTTTTCTGAAGCTAGACGAAACAATATGTGTCCTTACAAAACTAACGGACATAAAATACCAATAATACAGGAAATGTCTTTAGTTTTAGTCACAGTCAAATCCTATTCTGAATAATATCGCCCAGATTATCATAAAAACACTGAAAGCAGTAAAAATTTTACCAAAAATAAAGTGAAACAAGCTAACCCACTCCGGAAACAGAATTAACAACAAATAAAAAACAAATGAAAAATACAAACATCATAACTGCTGTGTTAAGCTGTTACGTGGGCAACTTTTATAAAAATAACTTTGTCAATATAATTGAAACTTTCACTATATCCGACAGTAGAACTTGAGGCTCCTCCTATTGCTTCTAATGGTATTTAAAGAATCCAACGGGCCTGAATGAAAACAACCAATCAGAGCCGGAAATATGACAAAAGTTACTTTTATAAAAGTAACCTACTGCAGCTTTAAATGAATTGTAATTGTATTGTATTTGCACACAATCTGTAATTTACTTTCCAACTTCAGCAGCAGAAACAGCTGATTTGAGCTGTTATACGGTGTGTTGTTGTTGCTTGTCCCACACTTACTTACTACACTACTAATTGTCTGATTGAGATCTGGTGTATGTTGTTGTGTTATGTTGTTCTCAAACAGATCAATAGTTTAGTTTTATCTCATAAATATCAAAGTCACAGTGTTAGGTTTATGGACGGGGTGTGTTCCATTAAAAAATTATGGAGATTTAGTCCAGTTTAGTGGAATTTTCTTGTCTAGTAGTTACTATGGCGATCTGAAATGAAGAGCTGCAGCATTGTTGTGTGTATCTCACCATGCAAACTATGGGCTCCAGTAGCTTATCACTAGGCACATCCATCCAGGTCAGCTCTATGGCTGCAGGGTCACCGGGGGAACAAGGAGTCAAGAGGTCGTCCACCATCATCTGGTTGTTGCTTCGGGATGGGCCACGAACCTGCAGGAGTACGAAGAAATAAAGCTCAGTAGTAACGGGAAGATTATTAACAGGATTCGAGATTTAACGTGCAGTTTTCAGTAGAGTTTAGTGTCACCTTTTTGAAGTGCGTGGCAGACTGGACCTTCCGAACAGGCTGCATGAGAGCGTCCCGGACGATGATGCTGATGTCTGCGCCGGAGTAGCCGTCTGTTTTGCGGGAGAGCTGCCGCAGGTCGGCCTCGCTCAGGCTGTGTGGCGTGTTGCCCAGATGAAGACGAAACATCTGAGTCCGAGCTGGCTCCTCCGGCAGAGGGATGTAGATACGCTTCTCAAATCTGACACATGACAGAGGACAAGTTCCATTCAATAGCACGTTCATCAGCTGTTTAGTTAGCATAAACGCCGTGCTTGCAGGTTTCAGACACATTTAAAATTTTAAAGAGCTTCTGAAAGCTGCCTGAGGCTGGATTTCAGACCAAAGAGAGCCCAGCTAACATTAGCCAGCTCACTTAAAGCTCCGGTGTGTAAGGTTTAGTAGCATGTAGCGGTGTAGTCGCAGCTACCTCACCCTCCCTTTCCAAGCATCAGAAATAAACTACGGTGGCTGCCAAATGCACAAAAAAATGCAAACAGCCCTATTTAGAGCCAGTGTTTGGTTTGTCCGTCCTGGGCTACTGTAGAAACATGGCGGTTAAACATGGCAGCTTCCATGGAGGGTGACTTACTGTAGAGATAAAGGGCTCATTTTACAGTAACAAACACACATCAATTCTTATTGTCAGGTCATTATACACTAATGAAAACATAGCTATAAAGGTTATTGAATAGTTCATTCATGTCAATAGACTTGACTCACAATAGACTTACACTTGGAAGCTCGTTTGAATGAGTTGCAATTTGCAACTACAGCTCTAGATGCCACCAAATCCTACACACTGGCCCCTTAACGTGCTAGATTTATGGGATTTAGACATTTTGATACGTATTGACCTGCAGATATGTGTATGTGCCATGTGAATTGTTAGTTTGAATATTTATGCTCGGAGTTCCTACTAAAAACTCCCATGGACTGACAGGACCCGGCAGGTGTGTCATATGTCCTGTTCTGACACTGACACTGTTGTTGTCTTTGCATGTCTATTGAAATATACTTGAGTTAAAAAGGTTAAATTGGTGATTTACTGCCCAACTGGAACTCCCCTCTAGTACTACTTGCCA